TTGAACTTATATACTGCCCATCTCTCCCAGAGGGTGACTCTGGGCGGCTTATCATTGAAAAAAGGCTATATTAGGCAAAAAGAGAAAATACAAAAATAAATAATAACAAGTAGCAGATGAAACAGTAAAAGCAAAATTACAATTAACATGAAAGCTGTGAAAATCCACATTTGAAATGTTGAGAGCACATACAGGATACACTCAAAAAATGGGTGACAGGTGAGGCTTGCTTGTTGATAAAGTGGCTGCTGTGAAAGACTTTCCTGTTCACAAAACAGTCCTTTCCCACAAGGGGAACTAGACCCCATAATATTTTCTATTATCCCCATGGCACCTTTATGGAGTCAAAAACCAATGCTGCAAATCAACGCGATTGAAGTTGGAGCTTTACGTGGCAGCGTGGCAACCTTCTATTTTTTAAGAGTCTTTTTTAAAAAGTTGATGGGCCACCAGAGGAAGTATCTAGTGCAGCATTTCTCAACCTTGGCAACTTTAAGGCGTGTGGACCAACTCCCAGCTGGCTGGGGGAATTCTGGGAGTTGAAGTCCACACGCCTTAAAGTTGCCAAGGTTGAGAAACGCTGTTCTAGTGCAACATTGATACTTGTGAATACAGTGCTGATTACCCCGATCCATTTTCAAATGGAGTCCAAAAAATAAGTCTGCAAACTCTCCATGGACAGGGAGTCCCCAGTTTAAGAATGAGCTCTGTTCCCAAGATCTGTCCTTAAGTTGAATTTGTATGTAAGCCAGATCAGTATTATTGTATAATACTGCATAAGTAGTATTGGGTAATGAACTCAAACCATTGTGTATTTAACTCAAATCACTGTGTATTGAACTCAAATTTTGCAAAAAAAGGCTCCATTCTTAACTATGGGCCATCTGTAAACCGGGTGTTCTTAACCCGAGGACTCCCTGTATTTGGTTTAATGCATTCAGGTGGATTCATCTCCCAAACAATCATCAGTTTGGAGGTGAGAAATTGCTGTGTCGATGTGTCCAACCACGTCCCCAACCCAGCTGCATAAGCGAGCATTTTGTTTCCAGAATGGTTTGCCCAAATCATTCCACCTACAGCAAGTATTTTAATTCAGAAATGTTTGCCCAAATCTTACACGGATTCCCTATGGATGTTTGGAGGGATTTAATAGATTGCCATGGCTACTCAGCATCCTTCACTTTAGCGCAGTGCTTCTCAGCGTTGGCGGCTTGAAGACGTGTGAACTTCAACTCCCATCTTGAGCTAAACTCCATCACTGTTTGCTCTTCCCTGAGATATTGCACTGGAAATGTCTACTCTGTGCAATTTGTAGTTCTCTGTATATTGCTGAACTTCAGCTCGCAGCAGTCTCAGCCAGCATGGCTAATCGATGCTGAAATGGTAGCTTAGCAACATTTGAAGGACAAAGAACTGTTGCTGAGTGGTTCATAACTGGGCAGCTGTCAATCAAGCTCAAGGCATAAGCAAAACTCTGCATTCCAGGCATGACGTGTGCCAACATTTCCTGGACAATTTCATTTTTCTCTTGAACAAGGGGATCTAAGACAAAACATGGAACCTTCCATACCTCAAATGCAGAATTTTGCACATAACTGTATAGCAACGAAATGTCTGGCAAAATGCCCTTGGTTCATGCTTCACCAATGCAAGATACACGTGCCATTGCTAAGGCAGATCCCTTCAGGTATATCAATATACCACAGCTTCCTGGGATCTGATTTGCTTTCCTTAACTGTCCTTGCTGCTTTCCATGATGATTGGGTTGGTTCTAAGGTCCAACTCAGTGTTTCTCAAACTTGGCAACTTAAGATGGGTGGACTTCAACT